CAAGATCCATTGTAACAACTGCTGCGCGCACATGCAAGACTTTTCAAAGTTGGGGGTCTTCCGTGGCCTGTAGTTCCCCCCAATTTTCAGAAAGAGCCACTAGTTGCTCCCAGCTGGCAAAAGGATCAAGTTTGCATTCTTCGGCACCCATGTCCAAAACTTTCTGGCAGTTAAATCTTGAAGGGCCGTCTGAGAGATTTGAATCCGTGGGGATCCTTGCGTACCAAGGTGTGAGCTGTTTTGTGCACTCCAGCGCCATAGTTGCAACGAAGATTTTCTTCGCAGTTACATTTATAGAGATGCAAGAAGTAAGGGAGTCACGAACACCGTTGTTATCTGTGTAGATAACAACTGCGCTCGTAACCCTGTCACCCCAAAGCAAGAAAGCACAGAAAAGTGCAAAGAATTCACATTCGAAAATTGCCGTCTGTTTGCCTGACGGGTTGAGTACGACAACTTCTGAGACAAGAAAAGAATTGGTTTGCCCGCGGGTGTGAAGAGCACTGCACCTACACCCGCTGTAACACTGTTACCACCAACATCATAACAAGCATCAGTTTGAATGAACCATGGTTCAGCTGATGACGGTTGGAGTTCTCGGGGACGGCCATAACTCAGCAGGTTCCTGTGTAACCGAAGGGCCAAGACTGCATCGTCCGTGAGTTTGCTGCTTGTGGAAGAGTAAGCATGGTGTGAGATGGCTGCCAGTGAACACTTTGCCACCCTTCCGAAAACATTTCCTGAAGTGAACTGAAGCCACCCCCGAAGTCGAAGAGCATCTTGCTTAGACATGTATCCCCTTGAAAGAACCAAATCCAAAAACTCAACCAACTCTTTGCACCTGTTCTCCGTGTTACCAAAGTCGACACGTCGATGTTGACCCCTAGGGCCTGAAACATAGCACTAAAAGGTGGAACCTTGTCCCCAGACTCTGAGAAAGCCCATCCAAGAAGCTTGTTGAAGTACATATGAACGCAAGAAATGATTGAAGAACACTCAGAAGTCGGAGAAGCAGCAACAAAGTCGTCGAAGTGGTTGGTAAGAAGGACCTTGAACTCTTTCACCAAAACATACCACAACCTGTGGGCGATACGAAGGAATCCATGCACTGACCAAACAGATCCGAATGGTAAGGCCGTCATGCGAAACCCCACCAACTCAAGAGTGTCTGGCTGCTGCACAATGATGTAGGCATATTGTTTTGATGTTGGTTTAACAGCACACTGTCTGTAAGCACCAATCAAATCAAAAGTTCTGCCGACCCAAGGTTCGTCTTGCGAAACGGCTGACATCAAGTGCACGCACATCGCCGCAAAAACATCAATAGTATGAGGCTTTGGACTCTCACACGTCTGAACACAGCTGTTGACGGATGATCTGGAGAAATCATCAATGCATCTCACTTTCAAACCCTGCTGTATACCAAACCGTCGGCTAAGCGGACAGTCAGAAGGGATGTGCTCCAACGCAATTGGGCCATCCAAGAGGCCTGCACGAACCTCATCCATTGTCTTCTCCAAAACCGGAACAATGAACTCATCCCTTCCCTGATTGCTAAACTGCTGCTGTAAACCTGCACGCTCACGTACGGCAATGTCATGTAGCTCAGTGACTGTCACCAAAGCTGGCTGAAACTTTGAAGGCCAAAGGCCAGTCCTCTCCACCGGACCAACCAAGTCCGTTCCGTCACGCAACTCACGAACCACACCCATGTCAGGGTAATCCACAGCCCTAAGCATTTCCTCCCACAGAAGAAGGTTCTTATCTTTCAGAATCTGAGACACTTCACTGTCCATAGATGATTTCAGCGCCCTCTCGGGTTCCTTGAGGGCAACAAGCCGTCGTAACCAAAAACCCAGCTTGGATGCTCTGTACTGCAAATGTTCCTGTAAACTAGTTGCTTGATAAAACTCAATTGTTGACTGCAGAACTTCTGGCAGGCCTGATTTCACAGTCGTGGGGTGGCCAAACTTGACCATCTGCTCTATGAACTGGTCCTCTGACCACGGTACACCCCAAAGCTGGGTCTCACATGTACCAAGTCTTACAGGCTTCGGCACTTGGCACATTGAAACAATACGATTCAAATCATCTTCACAAATCTGCTGCTCCGAAACAAAAACCCCCCGTTCCAGACATGAAGGAGGCAGCAAACAAGGCATTACTTGCAAAAGTTTGGAACCCTTTGGCAACAAAGTTGGAGCATTGTATGATTGCACTTGCAGTTGAGCTGACAACTTGGACTGCAACTGGAATTGTAGTAAACCACTTTGAAAACCAGACAACGCAACTTTTGATGCAAACGTTGGTATCAGCGGCGGCAATCTGCTGGCCTTTGGCTGAAGGCCGGCCTGAGCTCGCAAGGCTGACAAAGTTGCATTATTGAAGCTCACACCGCATCCAAGGTTTCTGGTGGCATCTTGATACCTCTGTTTTGCAAGGCAACTATGAGCTGGGCAGCTATTGCGCGTGCAAGCTGAACTGGATATGCTGTCTCCAACGCAGTTGCAAACTTCCTGGACTCAACATGAATGCCCCATTTGTCGTGCTTGTGGTTTCCAAAAACGCCACAACACATTTTGTTAATCACTGCAAACTCAACTGCATTGTGTCCCAACATTGTACGCTTGGGACGTGTGCTTCCGTACACGCATGATTGAAAAGTTGTAAAGTCCATCAAGTGGATGATTGATTGAATGAAAGTTGTTTGCCAGAAAAAGCTGAACTGTGAATTTTCAATGCAAAAGAGACAACCATGCTCAGTGGCCCATTGGACAAGCTTGGCAGTCAAAAAGTACAACTTGTTCGCCTTCGAGACCTTTATGCGGTCGACAAATAAAAGGTTGGGCAATCCGTTGGGATGCCTGTCAGACCGAAGTGGCCTTGGGTCACCTGGGGCCCCCTGCGGCTTTCCTTTTCAGCGGTATCGACCTCCCTCTGGAAGCCGAACCACAAGGAGGTGCTATGAAAACACCCACAAAATGCTCACCTGCCAACCACTGCATTGGCAGGTTGACACCAACATCTGTAGTAAGGTCTGCAATGACCACCTGTGCAGCAGCTTGCTTGTGTCGAAGGTGATCTGTACCAAATGCACTGACCATGCCAAACTTACGAAGCTCAGCTGTTACTCTGGCCGTCCCTGCAAATATTTCAATCATCATGCAATCTGGGATATCCCCAGCAGCACTAGCCAATGCGCTGATGCGGCCCTGGCGTCACTTCTTTTTGTCGTGGTCTTTCTCAGCATGGGGGGCAAAACAGCCCTTGCGGCAACAAAGGTGCCATCCTTTTGAACACTCTGCGCCATCAGCCACCTCTGAGCACTTATTGATCTGATAGTTGAAGCAAAGTCGACGTCCATGCATGTCCATGTTTGTATTGTCACGCCCAAGAAGAAATTTGGGAAGGACTCCTTTCCCTCCTTTGCTCTTGCCTTTGCCACCTTTGTAGGGATGGGACCGATTTTGCCATGGACTACCTTTGGATTGCTCAAAGTTGTTTCCCACTTGGGCTCCTTGCTGTGGGTGTTCAGGACGTCCAGAACTCTTCGGCAGTGGCAAAAGGTGGAAACCCACCTCATATGAATGCAGCGCCTCAAACAACTTTGTGTCCATATCCAGTGTGTTGTTTGGCAAACGCTTCAACTGAACACCAACCCTGATCAAATACATAAACACCTGTCGATCAGCCTTGAGGATCTTCTGCAAAGTGGGCCTACTGTAGTTCTGAGGCGGGTCCATGCACAAGTGACTGGTCAGTTGTTGAAGGTAGCAATCATGGGACTCCCAAGACAAAATGTCAGCTAAATCCATTGCCACACCACGTCTGCGCAAAGCTTCAAACGCTTGTAGTTCACTTGAATGATATTGGTCTGGGATGTCAGATTTCTCTTTGACCACCAACTTCTCTGTATCGAGGGACAATTGTTTCTTTGTCTTGCCCATCGTGATCTCCCATTCCCTCGAAGTCAGGCGTTCAAGCTGAACATAACAAAGTTGATTTGCTTGTTTCTGCTGCATCATCGCCTCCAAAAGCTCATGTGATGGCTCAAGTTGTCGTTCAACTATGACCCCTTGCAAACGTTGCTTAAGTTGGGTCATACGATGTTCACACTCCACCGCTGGAAGTTTACGGCTTGCTGCTGCATTTGGATCTGTGACCAACTCCCAACTGCCCAAGCACCATTGTATGGCCCTCGAAAACAAGTCGCTTCAACACTGCAGTGTCAGCCTGGCTTATCATGGATCATGGCGCCACGCGTATTCTGAGCAAAGTTGAGGAACTCATTCTGGTCTAAGGGATGGCCCGGCTGGCCAACAGCAAATGCAATCTTTCCCATCGTGTCCAAATTCCCTGCATCAACTGCTGAATACCACGTTGCGACATGCCCATGTCTGAGCATCTTTTCTTCAGGTGTGCCACTGAGTCAACTATTGATGTCATGGCGCCACTGGAGGCAAATCAAAATTCGTGTCACTGCAACACATGAATGAAGTCCAGTGAAAAGTCAAGCGCGGTGAAAATCACACGAAGATCATGGGCATGAAGACATCAAACTAAGGTTCAAATAAACTGAACATGAAGATCCTCATTTATTGTGCAGTTGTGAAATCAAATGAGCCCCGCTAACTTCTCTACCTTTCAGCACATTGCTGCAGGTCCACACACCGTGGAATCAATGCACATTGCATTGCATGAGCCCCACATTGGGATCAACCACATTGGTTGTGACATACATCAAATAAGTTGACATCATTGGCAACATCACAGACAAAGAACATGAAACGCACATGACACGAACCACATCGCAGGTTTACACGTAGATGCACATTGCACTGGAGATCATCACTGACTCAGACGCGGAAATCTCTGAACATTCACAATCAGCAGAGAACATGCGAAAAACTCACAAGCCAGTATACATGAAATGCACATTGCATTGAGTGAAGACCGGACATCGGCCAACCCAAACTTGTCTTTTCCACACAGCGCTACATTCAAAGACATGTCATGCAAACCACGGCTGTGAAACGACACAAGTCTAAGATGCCCGTCTGCCCTTGAAACAAATTCTGCACTTTGCAGTCCAGTCGTAAGGGCCCAAACACCAGTTTGTAGCTGCTCGTCATGACACGACCACACGAGGTCAAAGCTCCAATCATGACTTCGTCATAAGAGCTCTGATCACAAATTGAAACATGCGCGTCATTGCGGCACTCGTGAATAATTTTTGTTTTTAAGTTCCTGGCCAGAATTTCCACTTCTCGTTCTTCTACACCTGCGTCAACTGGCACAGCTGGTTGCTCTTCATCCTCCAAGTCAATGGTGTCTGCAACACTTGAGGTGTCTCTGCAAGTTTCACTTTCAGGGCTTTCACTGCTGGAGTCAGATGAAATTTCAATGACATGCCTGTCACCAGCGTCATTGGCAACAACCCATTCCTTTTCTCTTGATTTCAACTGGGGCTTCAACTGCGGCTACCTGCGAAGGTTGTTGTCCTGCTTCTGCAACTCTTGGGGTCAACGGTGCAATCCCTGGTGTTGCAGGTTGTGTCCTCTCCAAGTATGCTGGTGTGAACGGCTGCATGACAACATGAGCTGGGGTGCTGGCAGAAGCCTGTGGGCTGCATGCGAAGTAGTTTGCACGTGTAGCATCCGGGTGAAAAATTCCATCACGAATCATTGCTAAAACCTTCTGCAGTGAATTCACCGGCCCAATGCTCATGTCACGGCTGTAAAAAGAATCAGCACCTTTAACTGCAGCTGCATGGCGCCCCAGGATCCTACGCTGATCCCTGGGTACTCCAGCTTTAGCAGCCCAACTCAATGTCGTGGCCTTCAAGCTGTGGCTGGTCAAGTTGTGATCTGAACACTGCAGGAAACCCTTCAAGATGTTCGTCACCTCACCAGGCGAGAGAGGTCTCTTCAACCATTCCACCTTGTCACCCATCAGTGGCGCAGGAAGAAGCGCCCCGTCCACGAGCCTGATGTAGGGAGGCTGCATGCCTTTCTGTTGTTGATTATCCATGTATGCACCCAAGAAAAAGGTACCACGCCAGTGCTTCCAACCACGATAGGAAGCACCATTGCCTTCTGCTGGGCACTCCATGCTGATTTGTGGAAGCGAGTCGACACCTCCAAGAATCCAGTCCCTCCAGTGATGTCATGCAAAATCTCATGGACAAAATTCACATCTGAAACTCTGCAACGCCCATACAACATCAGCAGCAAAGTTCAAGCAGTGCACTTGTCAACCTTCGAATGAGTCCAGCTGTCCGCAATCGCATGCAGCATCTTCACTTCAGATACAGTCAAGGGCCTGGCTTGACGTACAGGATCTTTCAACGACAGCTGAATCTGTGCCTGCCCTGAAATCCTTCTCGAGTTTGCACAGCGCAAAGCACTCTCAAATCCCATGACGTAGTGTGCAAACCTGAGGGCCTGAATCAAAGATTGTGACCTTGAAGCTGAACCCGTTCGACCTGACTGATCCTGAGCATACCGCCAAACATCGTCCTCATTGAAAGGAGTCATAGGTGCATGTCCATTGACTGTAACCCATCTGTAGTACAACAACAACGCATTGGCCCGTTTCAACACCGTGTTTGGGCTCTTGACTCACATCACCCAGGTCAAGACCAAATCGGCCTCTGACTCGTCTACATCAATCAACTATGTTCCCACGTCTGAGCTGCTTGGATCTAACATGACCAGGAAGCGCCACTTCTGTAAAGCATTTCTCAAAGTCTTGTCACGTTGCTGAATGAAAGCTGCATCCGTGGTATATTGGAAACACTTTTGGCTGCTCTGGGGGGATGGCCGGTTGCTCAACTCCAGATCCAGTCGAATCAAATGAAGGTAATGCAACATTTCCCCAGTCAAGTGGCATGCTGAGTTTTGAACCTTGAACCTGTTCACCAAATATCTGTCGCATCAACGGAGTCTCCCAAGGCATGGTCAAAGAGGTAAGCCTAGCTCCTCTAATGAACTGATCTGAGATCGCAGCTGTGTCGTCTTTGGCACTACTGACACCACCAACATCAACTGCACTAATGTCAACTTGTCCCATTGATGCAAATGAAGGTTCATATTGCGAAGACGCTTCCAAGTTGTTTCGAGTCTGCATCAAAACCAAGGTCAGGACGTCCACCAACATCCAAAAGGTGTCCAAGAGCATCAGCCACACGCTGATCATGACTGGGGTCGCAACCAGCAGTAGAAACTAACACATCATCATCAATTGGTCTGTCTACAGCCTCAATAACAACTGGACTGGATTCTGTCGTTTTTCTCCATTTCGACCTGTAACCTCTGAGTTCCAATGCATCATCCATGGCGCAAAACCCCCGGGCAGTTTGAAGCTCACCTAAAAAGAAAACATGTAAACCGCATTCAGCATGACATAGTGAGTGAAGTGACATTGGAGTTACTGAAGATCGTTGAACTTGAAGTACATGATGCACACATGTGCAAACGAACGTTTGAACCAAGCAGCTGATGTGCATCCACATCTTGTATGCAGTGATAAGTCGCTATCATGCTTGACAGCTACATTGATTGCAAAATGTTCCCATTTAGTGCAAATATCATATGGTTGTCAGGCGTGGAAAATGTTTTTAGTCCTGGGCGAATAAAAAACCGTGTTCACTTTATTTTTAAATGAATTAACCCAGCATGCAGCCCCCCTATAGGACTGTGTACTGGTCCTTCATCAGCACTACTTTTGCGGCCCATTCCTCCATAAACCAGGTCCAAGTTTAAACTAAACAGATCCTGGTGGTGGAAGTTTCCAAACGCAAGACCGAAAAAGTTTACGAGGTTTATATATCGATATCTGTATAAACTTATACATGCACTAACAACCAAATACGCGCCACGTGATTCCACGTTCTCATTTGTCATGCTTCGTTGAACATCCTCAAAATTGAGACTGATGAAAAAGTTTCGATCCGTTTCTTAAAAAATCAGACATGAATGCAAACGAAAGGTCAGGCAGCTGTGATTCGAAGCGCCCCTTTTTATATTCCAGGTTTGCACTGTCGGGGAAGTTTCGAAATGCTGGCCGTGATTCCAGCTTCAAATGAGTGGTGCCAGATAGGTTCATGCTGCCTATCCATGTTTGAACTTTGACTCAGTAAGTCATGTTTCACCAAAGTCAGTGCACCCGTTGATTCCCCATTCAGGGTGGGAGTGTAACGGGGTGGGTGCTCGAAAATTCCCTTTATAAAAAAGGGGTCCCTCCCTCCCACCACTTGATGGGAAATGCAACAGTAGAAAAATTAATGTCAACATGACCACCACTGATGTGTGTTTCAGTGTTGATTGTTTGTTTAGAAAACAAACACCATCAGAGTTATTTGTTGTTAAAGGTGATTGTAACAACAACTTTTCAGTGGTTGTTTGCAGAAAGATTCTTTCACCACCAAGACGGTTTAAAGTCAAGGACCTTATTTGTGATACCTCACAATTTTTTTCTGAGGAATAATGCTTTCATCTTTTTCCCGAGAGCGTCTGAGCGCAGGGTTCTTCCAATAGTGGGGGGAGTGAGTGAGTGAGTGAGTGAGTGAGTGAGTGAGTGAGTGAGTGAGTGAGTGAGTGAGTGAGTGAGTGAGTGAGTGAGAGTGACTGAGTGAGTGAGTGAGTGAGTGAGTGAGTGACTGAGTGAGTGACTGAGTGAGTGAGTGAGTGAGTGTGTGTGTGTGTGAGTGAGTGAGTGAGTGAGTGAGTGAGAGAGTGTGTGTGTGTGAGGGGAGGGCTGCAGCAGCGAATAGACAGAAGCTTCTTCACCGTCCCTTGGGGCTACGAGCTTTGAATCGCCCTGGCGATTATCTGCCCCCTGCCCGGGTCACCAAGTTAATTGCACTCCTATGGCCGGATGCGAGCCAGGACAACGACTCTGAAGTGGCGCACCAAGCTTCTCTTTCAAGGTGAAGCCTTGACATCCGAAGCAGGGGTGCAGCAGGAGACCCTTTGGGGCCACTCCTTTTCGCCTTGGCTCTTCAACCCTCCCTGTGTGCTGCTGGCCGGTCGCAACTGGACCTTTGCTTCGCCTACTTGGATCATCTCTGCTTAGCCGGCGACTACACCGCCGTCAGCGCAGCTTTAGGCCGTCTCGTGAATGCTGCCCGCCAGGTCGGGCTCCACCTGAACGTGGGCAAGTGTGAGCTCACCACGCTCGGGGGGTCCCAACACGAACTTGGACAGCAGCCTTTTCCCCCCTGCCTTGCGCATCAACCATTCCGGGGAGTTCGTTCCTCTGCCCTCGGCAGCCCCAGCTTTTGCCACCAGCACACCAAGCAGCGTGCGATGCAAACGGAACCTCTCCTTCAAGCTCTGGGCCAGCTGCCCGACAGCCAGACAGCCCTCATGCTGCTCCGTCATTGCGCCTCCTGGTCAAAGCGTGTATACTCCAGTTGGGTCACCCCACCCCCGTTCCATCAGGATGCATTGAAGTCGTACGACCTGGCAGTTCTTCAATGCTTGGAATCTTGTTGCACGGGAGCACTTACGCCGGGGGCATGCCTCCAGGCCACCTTGTCCACCAAGTCTGGCGGCCTTGGCCTTCGCAGCATTTTCCGTCACAGTGGAGCTGCCTATACGGCTTCTGTTCTGGCCACTTCTCCGATTTGCTCCTTGCTGCTGCCAACCTACAACCCCAGCATGGACGCCATCATTGCCAACCTCAACGAGTCGCTGCTCGCTGCCGACCATGTTGCTCTCCCACCGCCGCATTCCCTTCGACAACAAGATTTGTCTCGGGCAGTGGATAGAAGCACGGCCGCCCAGCTTGCCTCGGCCTTCTCTTGGCCCGGCCATGAAGCTTTTAGAGCCCATCTCCAACTTCTTAAGAACCTGGAGCAGGTGCTTGGCTGGAGGCCCTGCCAAGTGCTGCCCTTGGCCTCCATGTTGACAGCGTCCTGGCTACCTGTGAAGATTTGGTCCGGGTTTTCCAGAGTTTTCCTGCAATAATGGGGGATAGTTGGGATAGATTTAGAATTTGAGATGGGAACTTTACACATTTCAATCATCACAGATGCTCGATTTAAGCCATATGTTTTTTGTAGGTGGGGTGTTTGCGAAAATGGTGTAGACCCTTAGGAAAAGGAATGAGGCAACGTCGAGCGAACACACCCTCACCCCCCCAGACCCCAGAGTGAAATGGGAACCCTTGCTGCGCATTCGGGCAAAAATAATCCTGAAACCAATGGAAAAATTGATGAACAGTGTGCGAATGAGAGATTTTAGCTACAAAATGCAGCAAACGAGAGATTTTAGCTGCAAAAACCAAGCAAGGGAACCTGGACGACAAAAACAATGAACATTCTATTCCATTTCATGTCATTCTGGAGAGAAAGTTGTGTAAACACTGATGTGATTCACATCAGGATGCATTAGGGCCACATATATATAGTTTTGCTGGAAAAAACAGCAGGGTGGCCCTAAAAACAAGGAGACACGGGCTGGTGTCACCGTGGCTAGCCAAACGCCAGCGAGAAAAAAAAGGGCCGGCAACTGGCTGCACTGCCTGAATATGTGCCAGGAATGCAAACAGGCGGCTCATTAGCCCCAACATCGCCCTTTAGCGAGATTCACTTCGTGAATCAAAGGGGAGCAAGAAAAGGCACCAGGGGCTCAGCTCAGCGGGTTGTGGAGGAAGTGAAAGTGCAGGGAGCATTCAGCAAATGGGGCGGAGGCTAAGGCAGGCTAAGGCGATTCCAAAGAAACTGTTGGAGAAATGGCGTCTCCAGCTCTTCGAAGGACCGCTCGAGCGTTCTCCCGCTGCAAAGTCAAAGCCAGGGTTTGTTGCAGCCGCTCCGTCAAAACGGAGACAGACTCACCAGTGCGACCAGCGACAGCTACGCGAGGAGTTTCCAAGTCGAAGTGGCTGCAGGTGCCCAACCGCCAGCGAATGCTTCAGCGACAAGAGAGACAAACTGCAACCCTTCAGCGGTGCACGTGAGCCAGCGACCGCCCCGACGCGCAGCCCCGACGTGACTGCCAGGTCGAAAGCCGCTGCACCATGAAGGCCCCAGTGCGGGACGTAAACATCTGCTGGGCGTCGACCAGGCCCTTGCCGCACGCCATCTTCTGAGGCTCCACCATGTTCAAGCCTGGGCGGGAGCAACCCGGGTTTTTCAAGTTCAGGTGGAGGCCAGCCGCCGTAAAACTTTGACACACAAAGTTAGATCGCGAAAACCACTTTCAAACCTCTCGTGCACAAAGTAAACCCAAACCAAAACACAAACAAACGGTGGTCGTCTCGCGTTTCTGTCTGTGTCAGCTTTCCCAGGCCGTCTCACGGCGACACACTCACCCTTTTCGAACTCGCGGGTCTTGAGCCAACGTTTACGTTGGGTCATAGCAGTTCCAAAAACGATTCTAGAAATCTAGACACGTGCAAAAAGCAAACTTCTACGTGGCAAAAACCTAAGATTGGTTTCGTGCAGTTTGGTTCTCGTGTGAAATAACCTACAACGTGCAGAAAACCTAAAAACGGCTAACTACCAACGAAAAATGGCAACTCCGTCACAACTCTTTGTGACGGAATGAGATGAGATCGAT